CTTCGCGGGCCGTAGTCTGGCCCACGCGCTCGGCGCGTGATCGGTTGGCGCGCGCGCGGCGCGCGTACCGTTTCGATTGTGCGGTCGGGAGACCGCCACAGGACCCCCCTGGTTGAGGGTGAGCCCGGGTTAGGCGAGGTTGCAGTGTACCGGAGGCCTTGATGTCCTCCCGGCTCTGGTTTTGATCTCTGTGGTTGGTTGGTGTGCATGCTTGTGCCCACTGCTTGCAATCTTTCTGGATCCCAGGCCATACGTAACGTTCTGCTATCATCCTGGCCGTTGCCTTCGTTCCTGGATGCGACAAGCCATGCAGGGATTGAAAGACCTGCTGTCTATATGGCTTTGTCACGTAAGGTCGGGCTGTTGGCGTGGACGTGTCGCATAGTATGGTTGTCTTGCTTCCTGGGACGGGGATCTCTGTGAGCCGTAGTGATTTGCTGTTCTCTTTTAGCTCTTTTGTTTCTGGTTCTTCTTTCATATCTTTGTACTCGTCGTCGCTCTCTATCTCGACGGTGTTGTTCGCTGTTGACATTGGTCTTCCTCTCCGACGTCGGGTTCACCAGGCGGCCCTGAAAAGGGCCGTTTGGGCTCTTCAGGTGCTGTGGTCTGGCCAGTGCTTCGTAGTTGAAGAGGAGTGTAGCGCCGGACTCTTGCGTCCCACGTTGAGTGTGCGTGGAGGACGAGTCGGTCGTACCGGTGAGAGCTGGAGCGGGACGAGTTTCCCTGTGTGGCCAGGACGGTAGTCCAGGGGCCGCTGAGGTTGTCTCGGTAGCGGCAGGCGAAGTGGCGCAGCTCGTCTCGGTGGTGGCCGTAACTTCGGCGGCGGCAAGGTGACGGCGAGAACGTTATCAAAATACTTCTCCTGGTCTTGGCTGTGAGCCTGAGAGCAGTCGAAAGCTGCCTAGGCCGTCGCCGTGTGGCCTTTTATTCTTCCCTGACGGAAAATGAAACGCGAGAAAATCTGCCACCTGTCGGCGGTACTCTCGTCTAGCTTCGCGGGCCGTAGTCTGGCTCACGCGCTCGGCGCGTGATCGGTTGGCGCGCGCGCGGCGCGCGTACCGTTTCGATTGTGCGGTCGGGAGACCGCCACATCAAATAAAAAGTTGCAGCTTTATTCTATTCAGGCAGTTTTACTCTTCTCTAAATATAGGGCTTATATACTTATATCTTAAATACGTTAAGGTGGTGGTCCTGCACGTAATTCATGGCTTCGATTATTGAATAAAAATAATTATTCCTTATCTCTGCTCTCACGTCTGTGTTTGCGTTTGCTTTATTGGTACAAAATGTTTAAATAAGATACATATCCTAAAAATTATTTTCAAGGCCATACTTATCAGTAATAGACGAATTTTACATCGACGAGGATGTCTATGAAATTCAAGAGATTCGTTAACCTCAGTGAGAGACACAAGAGAAGGCGGTTGTCTGTAATCTCAGGCCACCGAAGAGGTTTTGTATCAATAGCTCAGGATTTTGATGGTTCTAATCCCACATCAGAAGATGTGTCAGAGAATGAACCAGGAACAATCAGGAATAATCAGGAACAATCTACTGATGGTGACGATGAACAAACTTCTGACAGAGGTGAAGAAGTAGAGGATAGTGAGGAAGAAGCAGGAGACGGTGAAAGTACTGAAGAAGAAGAAGAAGAAGAGGACCACGATAAAAACAATGGAGAAGAAGTGGGATACGATAATATAGAAGAACACAATAATACATCGAGCTCTTCAGAAGATGAGAACGACAATGTACTAGAAAACCTTGCAGATATGAAGAAGAGGATATTAAAAAATACATTTTTAGCAACAAATTTAAAACATAAACAGGGAAATGTACTGCTTAAAACATTACGTGAGTTCCTTTTCAACCTGCTTTGTCTACCCAAAGATGCGAGAACGTTATTAAAAACTCCAACTACTGTCGCTACTACACAAGTTCAACAAATACCTGGGGGAGAGTAGTGTGCATTTTAATCCCTACATATGGGATTAAAATGCACACTTAAAAAGAAACTGCAAAATCTTCCTGAAGATATGTTGCCTGAAACTATCGAAATAGATTTTAGTACCGACGGTGCTGAAATGCACCGAAGTGGCACAGATCAATTTTGGCCTATTCAATATCGGATTTGGAATTTAATTGATAAAAAACCTGTAATAGCGGGTGTGTTTAAAGGAAAACAAAAACCATCAAATGCATTTAATTTTTTCGCTCAATTTGTTCAAGAAATTGTGGATATACGTGAAGAAGGTGGAATTTTTATCAATTCATCAAAATAAGATATTCCCTGTTTTCTTATTTATTCTTATATATGACGTGCATATTGAAAAAAATTTGAGTATTTATTTTTTTTCAACAGTTTCTATGATATTTAATCCTGGAAAGAAGCTAAATAAAAATACTTAAAATAGGATTTTACTTATAATTTTATTTTACTTTTTTCTTTTTTTTCTTGCAGTACTTATCAAAGCAATAATTCAAATTTAATCAATTTTAACATATTTAATATTAAAATTACCCAAATAAAATTATTAATTTGTCATAATGTCACATTTTCATGATCTCTATTTTATTTTCTGAAAATCTGTGTATAGAATGCTAAAAAAAGTATAAGAAATGATATCTTTATCAAACTTGGAAATGACATATTTGTTAGATCATCATTTATTACTTTTTGTCGAGTTTAGTCTATCTGTTAGTATCTATTATTTTTCTTTTTATACTCACAAATTCTTCTTAAAAATTTTAGACTATAATTGCTATCGCGTAATTAATATTTTGTCGTATAATAGGACATTAAAATGTGTCAATAAATAATATATTAATATAAGCCCTATTCTATAAGCTTCATATGTGTGCATCCTTGCATGCGCAATAAATCAATATCATGCACATATAATCCAGGATTAAATATCACTATGAATCTATTCTAGCCATCCATTTCAAGGCAGTGGATATCTATGAGATATGACATTTTTACGTGTAATATTCTTATATTCTTAACCTGATACACACGTCAACATATATCTAACCATATATTAAGCCTTGTGTACACGATACTAGAAATCGGTCCGAGTTTTGGTTTAAGCCAATTAACTTGCAGCTCTTACAGAAAAGCAGCAGTTTCATTGGTTTAAACCGAAACTCGGACCGATTTTTAGTATCGTGTACACAAGGCTTTATATATACATGTAATTCGATACAATTTTCAAAGATCCATTACTTCAAATTAAAATAAAATATGATTTATGACTCACCGATACGATGTGCAGCAGCGGAGTTGTAGACTACGTTGTCAAATATTCAAATTATAGCAATGTCAAGATGTTCAGAAACTAGTATTTTTCTGCATTGAGGGTAATGACGGGCAAAGCTGCTTAGGGTAAACAGAGCAATGAGCAGAGAGCTATCCATAGTTTAATCTATTTGTTATCGACCTCCCGTAAGCGCGCTATCTATCGAGCAGCGTTTCTGATGGTGTCGCGCTGCGAGACATCCGTCTAATTCAACGCATGTGTCGTGTTTCTTTCTATATTCGTGCGCAACGCGTACGCGCAGGCGTTCCCTGATTTTACCGCGCAAACAACGACGTTCTCGTCGTCACTTTTTTTCGGACGCTCAACGAGTGAGCATATATCGTTTTGCTTTGATATTGCGTAGATACGCTACTTCTATATTGGTAAAATCCTTAATATCCCGACTTCTGAGGAAGCAGAGCTGTTATATACAGCTACATTGCTGATTCGAGAAGACGAAACCTTGTCTCTGGACTTTCTGATTGCTGAAGGAGAAAACGAGGGAATTCCGATAGTAAAGACGAGGGCGGCCATTAATCCCGAGATACATTTTGGGAAGGATGCTCTTACGTCGACTTTATACTTGATAAGTACACTCTGATGAGAGAATTCCAGTTATCCTATTCTGGAACAAGCCTATAATTTTGGCTAATTGCAAGGTAACCTTATCATTTAATTTGGTAAAACCGTTCTTGGGTTAACAATAAATTCGGGCGATTAAGCCTAATCATAGGATATTGGTTACAGAGAATATCGTGAGATTTTCACGATTCCATTTTGTGGCGCGCATAAAGTAATACAATTGTGGCGTGCATAAAATTAATACGATCTAAAGACCTTTTCTCGAGAGCTCAGTTCCTTCGTGAACTTTCCAGAAGACGAATAGTATAAGGCTATTCGTGCTTCTATCAGTATAACACATAGCGTGTTCGGCGCGTGACAACGTAATATCTGAGGCGTGAAACTTCGCGTGATTTGAGCGTGATATACCGTGTTAAACTAGTACGACATTGCGTATCCTAAACATAATACATAGAGAGTACTAAGCGGGACTAAAGTCAATATAGATATTATTATCGGTGATACGAATAGTAAATACTGTCGAAATTCTCTGTTCAAGAAACTATATTCCTTTATTTGTATTAACCGCAATTATTATTATTCTATTTCTTGCGTGTTTCTGTATATATTTGATAATAATTTGCGATATTAGTTTATACTCAACCTATATAAGTTTATCCAAGTCAATAATGATTGAAGTACAATACACTATTATAACATAATCTTTCATTTCAGAAATTATATTCTTATTCGACGTTCTCTGCTGAAACATTACTTGAACTTAGTAGTTTGATTGATAAAAGAAAGACTAAATATCTGATAAAGAATAACAAGAAAACTTCAATCATCAATGACAACATTTCAATATAATCCTTTACTGCATTATTCTTGTATGATTTACGTTTCTTGCATATGTTTATAACTTTTTATTATATTGTGCATTAATTTGATTTCGTTTAAAATACTCTGACATTGTCTAATTGAGATTAACATTAATTGCTGCATTCTTGCGCAACCGAATGTAATATATTGAATTTACTCTACTTAAAATTATAATTGAATTATTTCATAAACAATAAAGGCATCTTTCCTTCCCTTCGAATAAAAGATTTGATACTCAGTTCCTATACACAAGAATAATTAATTATTTCAAATGATGGTTATGCGGTCAAACAATTATTATTATAGCAAAGGCTCGAGAATAAGCCAATCAATCAATAATAGTAAATCTGCAATCAATAATAGTAATAATAGTTATTTATCTCTTTTTTATTTTTTTTAATTTTAGTATCTTAAATACAAGATACAAAATATATAAATTTTTTAATAATGTATATAAAAAAGTTAACTCTAAAACTATATAAATTTAAGGTAATTATGAAGGAAAGTGGTTTCCTCATCGATTTGACTGAAACTTACCAATATTGTATATTGTTGTACGCTTAAATGTGTTTAAGAAAAATGACGATTTCTTAAACAACTCGTATTATTCTTATGTCGATAGCAAACAGTCTTAACAACGAGCGTAGACTAATCATATCACGTTCCATAATCGTGTAGTTCTTGCGTCGGTATGCGTCATGTTACATGATGGGAGTTAATAGCTCTTGTCAGGTGTAATGTAACAATGTTAATAGCGGTTGGCGATTAGCGACAACGCAACCTAGTTACTTAGCCACTGGTACCATTAACCTGAACAAATGTATATAGATTAATTCTATAGAATGTATTATATAGAATGTTTTCACATACATATATGTACAAGTGTGCGCGTCAGCCTACCGATCGAGCAAGACCGAGCAAAACGAGTATAAGAATACTTCTTCGTATATGTAACCGATCGTCGTAAAGAGATGACGACGCGAGCGAACGTATGGTCAATCGTTAGATTTTTGATACATGTAGGCAATTACGATATTTTTACTTGCATCTCGTATCATCCTACTAACCTCGCGCAACCGATGCCAGCTATCACATCACACGACACATACAGACACATACATATGTACATACAAACGCGAAACTCGCAGCGCGATCTCGATTGCCGCATCATCGACCGCACGCACGCATCGGCCAATCACGCACGCGGAAAAGCGGCATATCGACTCGACCGCGGGCCAACTTCTCGCGTCAACATGGAAACTTCTCGCGTCTACGTGGATTTTTTAAGAGACCACAAAAACGTGCACATACCGACAGGATTCGGATACGGGGTATGACCAAAACGCGGACATGACCACTCTCATCTTTCTCTCTGGATACACAAACCATTGTGACAAACTCGCAATTGATATTTAAAAGGAGACTTGACCACATCAGATAGCGAAAGCTGCACTACATACGTTAAGCGGGGAGCACACACTTCTGCACGACGCATAATGCGTAAGCATAAGAAAACTGATTGGTCCATATACATGTGCATAAGAAAATAGACCAATCAATTTTCTTATGCTTACGCATTATGCGTTATGCAGAAGTGTGTGCTCCCCGCTTTACTAGCATGCAACAGAATACATATTTATGTAAATTTGACGATAACATTAGTGTTAGATGGTCACAATAAGAGTTTGCTCCACGTCATATGCTAATCTCGAAGCATTCCGATACGTCACATGTTGCTCTGTGTTTATTAGGACGAAACGGTTAAGCGGGGAGCACACCATAAATATTATATATATTTATATAAATAATCCTACTAACCTCGCGCAACTGGCGTTGATCGATTAGCTCGATCCTCCTCCTTACGACGGCGACGAGGGGCGAATGGCGAGGCGCGGACAGGCGTGAGACCGCGCGAGCGGAAGCGTCCCGTTGAGATATAGGCTGCAGTCCATTTAATGCTATAAATGCTTGGAATTCTTTTCTCTTTTCTTTCAGTGAAGAAAGAAGAAGACAAAGAACGCTTCGAAGCATTTGTAACATATCAAATGGATCGCAGCCATAATCGACCGGCCGGTCGCGCGCGGACACGCGAGATTTTTAAAATTCACACCGCCAGACGGATAAACAAGGCTCAAGGATAAGCCAGGAAGGCGTGGATGGCCCGTGAAGGCAGAAATGGGTACACGGGAACTATTATTTAAGCACTCGGATACAGAGCACGCGGAGCACGCGAAATGTTACCGCGAGGACATTCGGATCACGAAGGACGACAAATGACAATCCAGCCGCTGCTGTCGAGCGAGTCACGTTGGCGGGCGAACAATGAAAGCACGCGGGGTCGCTTAGGCGTGAGGCGTGAGATGCGCATGGATCGCGCGTGAGCGGCCGGACCACTGAGGACAAGTTCGGGTGGAGATCGAGCTTGGATGAATAAATTAACACATTTCACGATCTCATTATATATAGACCCACACAATTTGCATAATTAAATAATATAATAAAACTAATAAAATGATATAATAAAATAACAATTACATTAAAATTGCTATTTTAATCGCTATGCGGGCATTTTGTTATTAAATATTATAATATAATAAATCGCGCGCGGATATTATAAATTACAATATATTCATGCGGGGTCATGTTACCTTCATGGCGTGATTATCACACCGTGCATGCACGAACGCATCATGCTCGCTTCACGAAGTGATTTTGGCATACGTACCCAAATTTATACGTATTTGTAACGTTTTTGCCATTTTATCTGATATTTAAATATTATTTTTATATGTAGTGCGATCTTTTACGATCAATATTATAATTCATCATCAATTATATATTAATCGTAAAAGATCGCACTATGTCATCATGTGTGTGTTCAATATGCCATCACGTGTGTGTAATCACTGTACCATCACACGTGTAATCACACGTGATGGCATAGTGGGACCTTCTATACGCGCACGTATGCCAAAATCACTTCGTGAAGCGAGCATGATGCGTTCGTGCATGCACGGTGTGATAATCACGCCGTGAAGGTAATATGACCCCGCACGAATTGTTATCTGGGTATATATAATGTTTACAATAAATTAAATTATATGTGTATCTTATTGCTATAATTATAATATAATATTTAAAAAAATTTACATTTTCAGAACAATATATTTCATCTGCTGTTTATCGTCAATAATTATATTGACTCGAAAACAAAGGTCCGCTAGACTGCTTATCTTATTAAGTACAGGTATGTTATGTTATCATGCATGTGTACATGCGTTTCATATGTATATATGTGCTTGCGTGTGTGTGCGTACGTATATATTCAGGATGGCTCAGTTATTGAGCGGAAGAAAAGAATTAGGTAATTATGCAGTATAGGGGACCACCCTCCGATGACCTTGACCTTGACATATGTTGTCAAGGTCACCCTTCTGAGTGACCTTCAAAAGGTTTTAGCCCTCGGTCATTGTTCGTTAAAAAGTTATAAACAAAAAAAGTTTGAAAAATACAGCAGCTATTTTGAGTATTGGAAGGCATAAATGACTAATATATATGGCGAAATAGTTCACGCATACACTTTCCACGCGAACCGAGGTTCACGCACACCCCCCCCCGTGTTTTCGGGGGAGGTGCGGTAGTCCCGAAATAGTTCACGCATATACTTTCCACGCGAACCGAGGTTCATGCACACCCCCCCCGTGCTTTCGGGGAAATGCGGTAGTCCCGAAATAGTTCACGCATACACTTTCCACGCGAGACGAGTTGTCACATGGGTTCGTGGCGCGCTTTACAAGCTCGTTTATATATATATATGTATACATAAAGTTATTAACAAAAAAAATTTTTTATAGTTTTATAAAATATTATAATGTATATTTTATTCATTGATATTTTCAGTTATGGGATACATAATAGACATTGTTTTAAAAAAAACGTCTAATCGTTCGTCAAAATCAAATGCTTGTTTGAACATAAATTCTGCTAAATAATGGTTGAAGTGACATTCTTTACGGCCATATCGAGAAATAACTCCACGAATATCCCTCCATACTCGTTCAATGTTCTGTGTATGAACACCCGTATGTGGATCAACAAAATTTTCCTTATGATTCACTGTATAATGTTGGTATATGTTCTTATCGATTAGTTGATAAGCTTTCCAACAATCACTGTAAATTATTGATCCAGGAGCAATATACTTTTGAATCAATGGCGTAGTATTTCTGCTTTACGGAATTCAACTGGCACAACAAACATTTTTTTCGTATTACGTTGTACACTACCGAAAAGCCATTGTCCTGTGATTAGTCGTCCGCGATGATATTTACGGCGTCCAAATTTAGCTTCATCAATTTCAATAACAATTCCATCTCCACCAAGTTGTTCTTGATTATGCATCAACCATTGATTCATGAGCTAAAATGCCAAATTATTGAATTTAAAGTAAGTTTTGACACTTACTGTCTAATATAACATAAAATTAATTACCTCCCGACAAAAGTTGACCCAATCAACTGCTGTGTGTGATAAAATATTCAGCTCCTTCTGTAGAAACATTTGTCGTGGGGTGTTTATCATCAACACATAACAAATTAATCGACAAACTGTGTCAATATTTAGAAGGCCATGCGAAAACCATGTTTCGTTTAAAACACTAATTTTAAAATTACAAATCACTCTTTTGCGTTTGCATTTTTAAAATTGTTTATAATAATGCTGCGTGCAATGAATAATTAATGATCCATCATTAAATACTATATTCTTGCAACGCGGACATTTTACTTTTTTCCGTATCACATTTTTTGTGCACAAATAGTCTATTAACTCGTCGTATCTTGTCGTTAAAGCGAGAAATTCATAAAATTTCATTTTCTGATAGTTCAACAGGATGTTATCTGTACGAAAACCTATCGTATACTGGCTTATTTTCGAAAAGTATAGTTTCAAATTTGCAAGAAATATCAACAACAGTAGGAAAGGTAATCAAGGACAACTTATGCTTAGTGAAGAATGTAATATGAAAGCATATAGGCTATATACGGTGTCGGAAAATTACAATTTATCAACAATTTACTGCTTTAAATGTTGTGTTTTGGTAAAGCAGCAACTTTACACAAACAAAATAAAGTATTCTCAACTTTAACAAAAAGACTTCAATTTATCAACAATTTACTGGTTTAAATGTTGTGTTTTGGTAAAGCATATAAAGTTATAGAAGTTGTGATTTTCTTTAAAGCAGGGCACACACACGTATATATTGGTTATTTATGTCTTTCAATACTCAAAATAGCTGCTATATTTTCCAAACTTTTTTTGTTAAAAACTTTTTAACGAACAATGGCCGAGGGCTAAAACCTTCTGAAGGTCACTCAGAAGGGTGACCTTGACAACATATATCAAAGTCAAGGTCATCGGAGGGTGGTCCCCTATACTGCATAATTACCAAGAATTAATTACTATAGCAAATCTATTCGTAAAATGTGGGATAACTAACATTTTTTTGCAACGAGAGCTATAAATTTGCAATAATAGCAAAACCTTTTGTTAAAGTTTTGCTGAATTTTTTGCTACTTAGTAATAATTACACAAAGATTTTGCTACTATTGCTAAATTATAGCTCTCGGTACAAAAAGTGTTAGTTATCCCATATATTTTATGAATAGATTTGGTATAATAATTAATCCTTTTTTTTCTTTGTGGTATACAATCGGGATGCAAATGATTCTGTTTGAAAAAATAAATTAAAAATGTAGGAGAGAGAGAGAGAGAGTTTTTTATATTAAGTAATAATACAGATATTAATAATATATGATTTAGACAATCAGTACATATTTGGCAATTTTACTCTATATATATATATATAGCACGCGCATGAGTAAACACAAACACGTATGTATACACGGAAAGAACAGTTTTATTGAAGTATCTAAAAATTCAGCTAGATACAGATCTGAAAATAATTTTGTTGCACTATCAAAATAATTATGTAGAATACTTAAACTGACTGCTAAAATGTTAAAATTTTTTACAGTATTATCATCATATTTCAGCAACCTATTACTACAATTATTTTGATGGTGTTTCCGTGTAGTAGGCATATGTATAAAGAAAACATATAGTTGTTTTAATCTTAAAACAATTATATTGCTTAAAACAACAAATTTAAGACACTCATAATTTTTCATATAGTTTAAATATTATGATTGCAACAAATTGCATTCAGTTACTTAATAAATACACATCACATTAAAATTATCGTTTTTTTATTAAGATTAAGGAATAACGCTAGAATCTTCTTAAAATAATTATATGTTAAAATAACTATAAAATTTTTAATGCACAACTATGTATACATATAGATAATAATAATGTACGTGAGAGTACGTACATAGTATAGAGAAAACATATAGTTATTTTAAGGTTTTAGC